TGCTGAACACACAGACATCCTCCTCAGGCTATCACTTCTGGTGTTTCTCCAGCTTATATTTGTTTTGACTGCATTTTTGATTCCTGACAATTCAAAGTATCCGCATGGTGATGGGAGATCTGCTGTGGCAATTTCCTTCACCTCTAGAGATAGAAGCATTGCTTCATTACCTGTTTGCAAGCTCTCTTTGCAGTATCAGTTTAAATGTAACAATGATTTAATTCTTACGTAGTCATAGAATCATAGAATCATAGAATCATTATGGTTGGAAGAGACCTCAAAGATCATCAAGTCCAACCGTATACCTGATACCACCATGCCCACTAAACCATGCCTTGAAGCACCACATCTAAACGTTTTTTGAACACCTCCAGGGATGGTGACTCCACCACCTCCCTGGGGAGCCCGTTCCAATGCCTAACGACTCTAACCGTGAAGAAGTTCTTTCTAATGTCGAGCCTGAGCTTATAATTTAGGTGTGCAGTAGGATGTTGAGAACTTGTCAATTGGTATTAGCTTCTGATTTATCTGAAGTAAAATTGGTTTTTACTGGTGGTTTCTATGCAAAGGAGTGCTATTAATATTGACCTCTCTCTGTTTCCAGGCAAATGGAATATATACAATAGCAAAGCTGATTTTACCAAAGAAAGGAAGGAATGCTAAAAAAGCTAGTTTATTACAGGTAACTGCCTTTATTATCATTGCACTTTGAAAGCTCCAAACAGTCCCTGAGAATTTTTTATGATTTCTAATTTTAATGATTTTTATGATTTGTGGTAAAAAAATCTTACTTAAAGGGGAAAAAAACCCCCGCCGAAACAAAACTAGGAATAACAAATGGCCCAGGAACTAAAAGTTAAATAGTGACTCAATTTCTGGTGTTTTGTTCTGATCTACTTTGTTTCTGGCACCTCATATAGTGTAAAGGAAAGTAAATATTTTTCTTGTGATAATCTTTCCTCCACTTTTTCAGGCTGCCCAGCACGAGATCTTCGTTTTAGTGCCTTGGTCTTCATTGAAACTCACTGTAGATTTGACACTGAACTAATATCTGTTTCTTTCTGGAGCATCTTACTGTGACTGTTAAATAAATACAGGAAAATATCACATAAGTAGAGCAAATTTAAATGTAGGATAAATATAGAGCTAATAAGCATAGAATGGCTCTTGGTTTTGCATGGTAATACCTCATAAATGTACTGCTTTGAGTCAACTTAGGCTAAAAGTTATCAGTAGGAATTAATTATCTGGTAGCTCTTCTCTGGCCTCTGTAAAATGGTGTTGGTATCTCTCTAAGCTATAGGAAAGTAGTGGTCTGGGGTTCAGGGATGAACACAACCGCTGCTGCTCCAGTTGCCCTTCTGTGGGCAAGTGTGAGGGGGTCCTTGGCACAGGTGAATGCCGTCAGGATCCTGCCTCTCACCTGGTCTTTGTTCTGGCATAGCCCTACACTAACATGGCTACATAGCTACTCAACTATCTAATCAGGGAGACGTGCCTGTGTAGTGAGGGAAGGCATTTCCACAAAGATTTCATTGTAGCGTCGTCTTTCTCATCGCAGTTCTAGGTAAGGGTTGGAGTGCAGATTCAGAGCAGTAGGTACCTTTCTTCTGCAGTGAGATTTTATGGTGCATGTCAGTTAAATCAGTTTAAGGATGCGATGAATAAAAATCTTCCTAGAGGGTGGATGAAACTAACATGGAGTCTAACAAAGTGGAGCATATACTCAGTACAGTTGCCTCATACGACTGTAAGGAGCTTAATTTATACCCCCTGAGATTTTTAGATTCCAGCAGAAGCAGAATGCATTGGAAATAACTTACAAGAGATACTGAGCAATTGTAGTTGGGTTAAACATGAAGCCGTGTGAATTAATAACGGACTTAATGATCACATACGAGAACTAAATCTGTTTCAGGCAAACAATAAGAAGTATATCTTTTTATGAAGCCTTGTTCAGATTCTCACACTGCGCTCTCTATTGCCTTTATCATTGCTGCTGCTGTGCAACACAGTCGCAGCTACTGGAATACCCTTTTTGTTTTTCATAGGCATTTTTCTTAGAATTCTCGCAACACTGGTCTGGTGTCTTTACTGCTCCGTTGTCTGTTTCTTCAATGATTAAATTTTCAGCTTCTTTCTATCATACTGCCCTAATGATCTTACTCCATTACTTTAAGGGTGGCAGCAATATCAGTCATTTATTCTGCATACGTACCATATATAAAAATCATCATGCCTTAACTGAAGCATATCACAAATATTAAATACTGATCTCACAATACTCCTGTGAGAAAGACAAATATTATTTCCATTTAAAATATCTGTTTATCTCATTATTAATCTATTATCATGCCCCTTCACCGCTGGGGTTTCTACAGTAAGATCTACATATAGTCTCTAAAATGAAAAACTTCCAAGGCAGCAGCTATGGCCCAGCTGGTCTGGGCTATTTTGTACAGCTAAGGTGTGAGTCCCAGTGGAATGTTAGACATCACAACACACCATCCTCCTTCTGGGATGGGGAGTTCATTTTGGACTAAAAAGTCTGTGAAAGAGACAACTTCTTACCAGCATTGACATACATTCCTTTGCTGTAAAATTTCGAGTATCTTGTTTCCTTCAAAAGTAGCATTTGGCCTGTATTTTCTTCATTTAATGTGTTTTCTGTATATTGAAAGATTTGGTTTTAACGTGGGGATTAATGCTGCAGTTATCACTAAGACACAGTTACCGTTGTCTAAATAGGGATTATCACACTGGACCGTAGTAGTGTCTTAGTCACTGATGCAATAATGTAATTCTAAATGATGTTAAAGGCATTTACTATTTGCATTGTTTCAGATATCTATACCTTATTTCTTTTTGGCTTACTTTATACAGTCATCTTTGTTTGGTCAGACATATATGTGCCATATTATTGACTCTTGATAAACGGAATTAAAGATGAGTTGCATAAAAGCATACATATTAACTACCTGCCAGTGGCTGTTTTAAAAGCAAACTTTCTTCACTAGCGATCATATCAAAACTAAGGTACATAAAGATAGAAATGGAGGTACATAAAGATCTCTGTAAATATGATGAACTTAGCATTAAACAAACAAACAAAAAGTTGACCATTCTCTCTTTCTCACTTTTCTTTTTTGTCCCCTGTTAGAACTTATGGTGTTCCACACTGCATTTTTCAGAAAAAATGCAAAATGCTGTTTCTACTGCATCGTTACAAAACCACTGATTACATTTACCTTTTTCAGCATTAGAGAAGGGAGCAGGTCTCAAGTCTTGAGCTCTCTGCAAATAAAAAGAGATCATTAAGACTTAGATGTTCCTCAGCATGTGCTGTTGCTATAGTCACCCAGTTCTTTTAAATTTTTTTTCCCTAAATGGCCCTGCCTACTTTTAAAATACAAGAGGAACATTTTTATTTTAAAATACAAGAGGAATATTTTTCCTCTCGTCATTATCAGGTTAATAACATAATCTGTCTCGTCATTTAAGTACAAAGTTTACCAACGTGTAAAGTCAAAGGGGATCCTTGATGTTTATCGTTGGCTTTTCCATTTGTGTATAAATTTGTCATTAATTTAAGTATTTTTCCTGCTGTAGTGTTATGCTTTCAGAGCCCTGAGATTTCTCTTCAGTATGGAAAGAAATCGGCACATCTTTAAAAGGTATGTTAACAAAATGTTTTGTGAAACTCCTTTAGGATATTTTTCAGAAGTTGTCAGTCCAATCAGAGAGACGTTTGTTTTAAGTGTCATTTATTTTCAACAGGAAGAAGTAGCAATGGGCAACTTCTGTCCTGTCCACAGCTACAGATAGCCATTCCTGCATTGCATCAGTGCCAGCCCACAAGATTTAGATGTTCAGTGGGAGAACCTAGCTCTATAGGGGCTCCTTTGTGCCACATGAATCAACATTTTAAATATGTTGAGGACAGATTTAATACTGTTGGAGATAAACCATACTTTTATTCTGAACATTAGCAGATGCAAGTTACAGCCCTGGATAGTAGCAAGTAACTGGGAGCAGTAAATTTTTTCTCTGAGCCCTGCACTCCTTCACATGGGAATGACTTTGCATCAAGCTGTCTTACTTAGGAGTGTTGCTGAAAGGTTTGGATCAATAAGGAGAAAATGTCTTTCATCAATTACCCATTTTTACCAGTAAGATGACAGTTTCACCAGGTTTGCTACAAAGACCGTGTAAAACCTAACAGTTTGATTTGTGGATTAGGATAGTAATCGTACTGCCTAGAAGCTCTGCCTGTCAGTAGTGTTTCTGTATTTTATTCTCTATCATAAATTACTAGAATTCTAAATATAACTTTTGTGGTATTTTTACTTTTTAAAAGTGGATTTTGTACTGAAAGGGCCGCAGTTTGTAATGAATGTTCATGGTTGGTGTCAAGTTTTGAAAGTGATAAATCTGGACTAAATTGCTGTCTCTCATATTTTTCCAAATATCTTACTTTTCTACTTCTACGAGAACTTTAAAAAGAAACAAACCTTCAGTTAAGCATGTCGCTAATCACATATTCCTTACTATCTGTTAGCTTTTGCTTTTCTCAGACCTTCTCGTCTTTTAGACTAGACTTCTTGGACAAAAATTCCATGATGGGTGTCGTGATTCTTTAAATGCAGATGTTATATAAATAAATGTTATTCCCATCACTTAATGCATTACAACAAGGAACTCAGATAAAGTGATGACCAACATAATATAAAGTACTATAAGAAAAAAATAGGAAAGTTACTGGAAACTCAGGAGGTGCATTAACTTTGAAGAGGCTTATACTTGTTTGGAGAACTGGCATTTATATTAATACCTAACCCATGGAGGCTGAAGTCTGACTTTTGAAAAGTCCTTTAACTCCTATGTAGGTAATGTTAGAGGGTTAACATCTGAAGAGACTAGTAAAAAATAAGTGTATTATTTAGAAAGTTCTAAAGTAAGTTGTAATAATAAACATTGAAAAGTCTCTGCTGTAGATTAACAGCTACTGTGTATACTCTTTCTAAAATATATCAAAATGTAAACTTTTGTAGGCTTTTCCCTACTGACTTGTTTGAAATCTTCATTGATATTGGACATTATGTGCGTGATATCAGTGCTTATGAAGAGTTGGTATCAAAGCTAAATTTATTAAAGGTAAGTAAAAAACTTCATAGCTTTAAGAAGCTGCATTGTTTGCACATTCTTAGCACAAGAAAGGCATGAAGTATTTTATATTTCTTTTTCATTTAACTTATAACCAGGAGGATGAATTGAAGCAAATTGCTGAAAGTATTGAGAACATGAATCAGAATAAGGCACCTACAAAACATATAGGCAATTATGCAGTTTTAGAGCACCTTGGCAGTGGAGCTTTTGGAAGTGTCTATAAGGTAAACTTCCCTTTCAGTATTAATTTACAGGTTTAAGGGGAGGCTTCATGAAGAGGGTCTGATGCCTCTTTTAGGCACTACCGTCCTTGTTCTTTCAGTAGGGGAATTCAGGTGTGAAAAGCCCTTTATGGATCTGGGCTTGTTGTTAGTATCTACTGTGATTTTATTTGTCCCCTCTTGTATTTATAAAATTGTCCAGGGTATCTTTTAGGTTTCCTACTTTTACTTTCTTTTAATTCCTTTCCACAAACAGCATTTCTGTCTATGGCAAAGGCTAACAAATCTGTGTAAAACCACAGAATTTCAAGCATGTTTTATCTGAAAAGCAACACTGGGCACAGGTAATGTTACTTCAAATACTGTGGCAAGTTCAGCAGTGTACTGCTAACCTGTATTGTGGGATTCCAGTTCTTTTGGCTAATCGTAGCATACACAGAAAAAGCTATGATTGTACCTTTTGCGAGATGGGTTTGGGCTCTGATAACTAATCTGGTAGCCATAGTAATAGCCTTCCAATCACCATCCTATATTAATTTTACAAGGGTTTTATCATTTTCATAGGTTAGAAAACGTAATGGACAAAATCTCCTAGCAATGAAAGAAGTCAATTTACACAATCCAGCATTTGGAAAGGACAAAAAAGACAGAGACAGCAGTGTAAAGAACATTGTCTCTGAATTAACCATCATCAAAGAGCAGGTATGTCTTGTGGTCTCTAGTTTCATGTATGGGCATATGGAAAGCTGCCCGGCGGGAAAGGACCTGGGGCTGTTGGTCAACAGCCAGCTGAATAAGAGCCAGCAGTGTGCCCAGGTGTCCAAGAAGGCCAACAGCATCCTGGCCTGTATCAGCAATAGTGTGGCCAGCAGGACCAGGGCAGTGATTGTCCCCCTGTACTCGACACCTGTGAGGCCGGACCTCGAATCCTGTGTTCAGTGTTGGGCGCCTCACTCCAAGAAAGACCTTGAGGTGCTGGAGCGTGTCCAGAGAAGGGCAACGAAGGTGGTGAAGGGCCTGGAGCACAAGTCTGATGGGGAGCGGCTGAGGGAGCTGGGGCTGTTTGGTCTGGAGAAAAGGAGGCTGAGGGGAGACCTGGTCGCTCTCTACAACGACCTGAAAGGAGGGTGTAGTGAGGTGGGGGTTGGTCTCTTCTCCCAAGTAACCAGTAATAGGACAAGAGGAAATGGCCTCCAGTTGTGCCAGATTCTTCACCGAAAGGGTTGTCAGGAACTGGGACACGCTGCCCAAGAAAGTGGTGGACTCACCATCCCTGGAGGTATTTAAAAGATGAGTAGATGTGATGCTTAGAATAGAATCATAGAATCGTTTAAGTTGAAAAGGACCTTTAAGATCATCGAGTCCAACCGTAAACGTAGCACGGCCAAGTCCACCACTAAACCATGTCCCTAAGCACCACATCTACACCACATCTTAGGGACATGGTTTAGTGGGACTTGGCAGTGTTAGCTTTATGGTTGGACTCGATGGTCTTAAAGGTCTTTTCCAACCTCAGTGATTCTGTGATTCTGTATAGCAGGGCTTCCAACTGCTGTTACTATTTTTGTCTGATCAATACAATATTGGCCCACTTTACCTGAATGCTGCCAATATTGAAAACCTTCTTACTGTAGTGTTAGCAGCAGTGCAAATGCTTGTTACTAAAGATTCTTGCTTCCTGTGTTGGCAGTATTTGAACTTTTTTCAGGGATTCTGTAAATTAAGATTGCGATGGAAAACTGATGAGTCTTTGTTCCATTTAATGAATTTTGGGGTTTAAAATGCAGTAAGAAGATAGTCTTTTTTGTAACTGAAAATTAAAAAACCAGACTGATCATTAGTGTTCTTAGGCTAAGAAAGCCAATACTTTGATGCAGGCATAATTGCCTCTCTTCAAACTTCATTTACTCTCTTTCAGTTATTAAGGGGAGAGTGGATAGGAATCACGCTGTATTTTACTCCTGGTTGCTCTAGTACTGTGCAACGATTCTCTGTTTGAGGTAGCAGTGGAGGTCTACTGCATTGCAGTGCATAAGCAAGTTTGTGGAATCCTTCCTTCTGATGTGGAGCTAAACATTATAAATACTGTGCCATCAGTTCAACTATTCTAAACATCTACATTTCTTTCCTCATTGTAGCTTTATCATCCAAATGTTGTACGGTATTACAGAACCTTCTTGGAAAGTAAGTATGAATGCAGAGAACTACCACATTGTACATAGTGAAGAAACAGAAATACATAACGAAACCACTTAGAGCTTGGAAAGAG